TTGGGTATTAATTTTTATATTTGCAATTTAAAATGTACTAATAAAATGAAGAGTGTGTAGTTGGTTGGTTCAAAGTTCAAACCAAACCATATTTTTTAATCGATAGAAACATATGCATTTTGATGATAATAAACATTTTGATCTAATGATTGGATACTAAAAACACTATGCTTTATATAAACCCGAATCCAAAGTTCCGCAAAATACGATTACATTTTCATGTTTATTCAAATTTTAGGAATACGATTTAGTCTAAAATTGCATAAACAGTGGCGTTTTTAGTAATGAAAACAAAGCACTTAACAAAATTGTGTTTATCTCATAAACTAACGATAAATTAGAAGAATATTTGGCATTATATGAAATTTTGCAGTTGCTAATAAATGATCCAAGAATCGATAAAGCAATAGCATGCTATATGTTTTATCATATATATGCAAGCAACTAGAAAAGAATAATGATAATCTACTCTAATATGTATTCCATATACCCATTATAATTGGGACCATGAATATCTTAAATGGACCAACTAACTTATTCTCTTAATGTCTTTTTTCTTGTCCAAATGTAACAAACAAACAAAAAAAGTATTATCACATAGAGATGCACTATTTTTGATGATTGGTTTTTAATTTCACTGACTGTCTTTGATAATTTCTATGAATACAATTAAAAATAGCATAATGGCAAACAAATTATTTAGCAAATATTTATTGTTTTTTTTTAACCTTGCAAATATTTATTGTTTATGACTAAAATTGTTATGTTTCTATACTCTTCTTAGTTGAAACATTAAAACTAATGAAAATGAGAGAGCAAAACTACTTATTTAACTATAAATTAAATATGGTTTAATTATTTTATAAAATAAGTATAATAAATGTGCATTCTATCAACACCATTAACTGCAAACATAAAGAACATTTTTTCTCGAAACATTACTTGATTATTAGTAGAAATATGATCCAAAAACAATTTCAACCGCACAAAAAACACCAACTTTGTTGTTGCTAGCAAAACTAAGTCCGAAATTAATCAACGTATTGTACCGTAAACTACACATCAATTTTTTTTTTATAACTAATTAAGCTTCTTAAAATCTCCAAATCTATCCAAACCCTAATACTCGAAAATTCACAAATCATGATTTTGTAGAAGAACTAAGATCCCAAAACCAAGTCCAATTCATCTGCACCATGCAATCTCAACAAATCATTTGATTTCATTTTCATTTTTAACGTTTGGAATTCATCGGCCTAAGATTGAAAAAAGGTAAATTAACTCGGTTTGTGTCTTGCATTAGGCGTCAATTACCCTTATGATTGTATATAATAATGTATTTAATTTTGCTACGATTTAAAGACTAATCATATAATTTAAAGAGATGAAATGCTTGATGTGGTAATTTAACTTCATCCTCGATTCCATTTGATCTAATAAGAAAGTATTACGAAATGGAACCTCTTCAATAGTATATTAGCTTTGCCTCTATTCTTGAAGTCAACTTTTCAAGGGGTTCGTAGAATTTCAGCTCCATTGCATTAACTACGAACTAACTTTGTGACTCGGTTTTTGTCAAATGGTATGGTCAAACCAACCGTTGGTTTGTATTTATGGAAATTATGAGCATGTAATTATAGACAATAAATAAAAACTTAACTGATCTTGGTCAGGAAGATGTCAGCAAAACTAGCTGTTTTTGTTGTGCTTACAATTTCTAAATGCATGCATTGCTTTTCTTCTTCTTTTATTGGTAAAAACAATTATCCTTCTTTTCAAGATTGCTTTTGTTTGTTGGGAGTGAAAACACTAAAATTGGGGTTTTAAGTGCATAAGTGACCTGGAAACATATGTCACTTTTTTTGCAGAAGCTTTAGAGATTTTAAGTTTTAAGAATCTGAAGCTTCTTGTTGTTGAATGCATTATGATTATTTTAATAGAAACAAAAGCAAAACATAAAGACTAAAGCCAAGTGATATTTTGTAATAAGTCCATTCCAAAATTCGATTTTTCAATAGACACAAACTTTGAAAACTTCAGTTTTTCAGCTGACCATACACACAACAAAAATCATAATTACAAAATTTATTGTGTAGAGTATTGATAATTGATGGGAAATGAAGTACCATCAAACTGAATCATCAAAGAACCACCATATATATATATATCTGCATTTACATATTACATTTCTTCTATTATTCATTTTTTGAATAAAAAAAATTTCTGCTTTCTCAATTTGGTTAGTGATTTTTTATAGAGAATGAGCTCCAACTACTTTGGTAGTTGAGAAAGGTCTAAGAGGTTCATAAAAAAAAGTGAACAAAATCAAAGAATGGTGACCAATTACTAATGTCCCCATGAATATAACTCTTGGATTAAAGATCTTTTACCATCTCAACCATATATCAGTCTATGTCGGATCGAATTATATCGATCATCGATAACTCCTTCAATCAATTCATCAGTAATGTTGCTAGGACAAGATCTAAAGTCATTGATTCTTATGTCTTCTGAACTTTAAATGTGTTATCTATACGAATGCAGAAACAATGACATAACACCAAATCTTCAGAGCAGTGTGAGTAAGAGTGGGTTATACTGACCTGTAGCAACCAAACTCGGGTTGAGTAGTTCTTCAGATTCTGCCTTAAAACCCATAGCTACCATAAGGGATTTTACTTTCTATGAATCAATCCAACCTTGAGGTGACTGAAATTTAAAGGGTATCCAATCATAAGACTTAAACCGATCGCTATGTGTAGGACTTGACACTTCCAACAAATTTGAATCGCTGATGCTGGAAAACGGATAGGACACAATTTCACATCCGGGGACTTTAAAAGGGGAATGATCCACTGGAGAGTTGGATAGATTATGATAGTATGTGTAGTCTCTGGTTAAACAATCTGAGCTATATGTGTGATGAAATGTCTGGAGATTCGGGTTTGCAGCAGCCACATCTTCGTCATCAATCATATGCCTCTCGAGTTCATGCTCAAAATAGCTGGTTTGGTTTGTAGTTGGTAAGAGGAAACTGTCTGAAATGTAATGAGAGGGCAGAGGTAAAGGGTACAGCACTTTGGTAACCAAATCATGGGACGAAGAATAATCAGAGCTCCATGGATTATCAGTCAAAGATGATGATGATGCATTTGGATACGTGATGACTTCTGTGTGATAACTTAGTGGCAAATCATTGGTCTTTCTGGTGCTTGCGGTTTCAGTATTCCACTCGAGAAGTAATGCAGATGAAGGCTCTCTATGATCATGTGATAAGTCCTCTGAGCTGTATTCACTTTCTTCAATGTGATAATCCAGTGAAAGAGGCTTGTGGTTTCTGAAATGGAGGCTAGATATGGGAGAACATTCACGAGTTTCTTCAACAGGAAACGACAGGGACGACGCCTTCTGTTTCAACAATGGAGGTCTATAAACCGATTCCTTAGGATATGAGATGGAATAGTTATCTCTTGGGATGAAACTGCTGTGAACATGATCTGTTGCAAACTGCAGACTCGGTTTAATGCTATTTTCCAGCCATCCCGGCCAATAAATCGATCTGCCCTTTTCCATTTGCAGACTGTCATCAACTTCTGTATACCTTTCATGGTACCTCTTACGAAACTTTGATCCAGGAGAATCAACAAACGTTCTTCTTTTGACTCTATCCGTCCTCTCCGTGGAAAACCTGGAAGGCTGAGAAAATATAAAAAGTGCTTAGAATTTATCAAGATACGCAAATAACATGTAGTCCATGATCATATCAAGCTTACATGTGTTTCCGCGGTTCCAGGGAACAGCCGAGTTAGGAGAACAGAAACTAAAACGTGCCTGAAAAATGTTGTTCTTCTGAGTGCATTATAGATACAAGTATTGATGAGACTATAAGTAAATCAACAATTATAGTTTACCCGTTTGAAGTAAGCTCAGGGATTTCAGGAAACCATGTATCTTTGACCCACTGATGCAGTCTCTTCCTCTTTACAGAGAATAAGTCTCCTTTCTCGTCACCGATTCCTGATAATTCAAACTACAAAATCATGTTTCTTAACTATTGACTGCTATGTTATGCTTCTTTGAAATGTAGACCAATCTAAGAACTAGGATATCCAAAATCTACCTCCAGATCTCAGGTTGTTACCACTTCGAACTGTGTCCTTATCTCTACTGAATGCTGAAGAAGATTTTTCTATAAACAACAGAAACACAGAAGCAACTTTATGGATCACTACTTCCCAAATACCACAGAACTGTAAACATGTAATGGACACAAAATTGACAAGAGATCATATCATGTGGGCACAAAAATGCAAAAGTTTGCAGCTATAGCTCTTGAGTCAAGAGATCGAAGTAACAGAGGCGCTAATAACCTAAACTACCTTTATCCCTTTGAGTCAAGTTGGCATGAGACATCGACAAGCCACATGAACCACCTCTGGTAGTATGAATAGGTGTGGAGAAGCTATAGCTCTTGCATCTATCTTTAGCTTCACGGTCCGTTCCTGCATACTCTGATTTTTAAAACCATAGTTATGAAAATCCACAGGAAAGCCAAGCAGACACTATCATCATCACCCAAAACAATGATTACTAAACCCAAACCCATGTGAATTTTTACCTCTGGATTCGAAGGTATTCGGATTTTGTTCGATTTTGGTAGATGATTTAGAGTTAGAAGACTCAGAGGAGAGACCAAAACCAGACTTAAGCTTCTTAAAGAAAGCAAACTCCGAGGTCTTAGCATCAAGCGCTGCAAATGAGAAGCGTCGAGAGACAAATTACCAATAATTTGCG